AATCAATACTCTATTTCTGCGAAACATTTAGTGTCTTATCGATCAACACAACTGTACGCTACGGATCGAAAGCCCGGAGCGGATAGTCTGTGCCGAACCCACGGGACTGAACGGCACGCAAATCATTCACCTGAATATGAGTGCCGTTCCCGAGGAATGCGGTCCACGACTCGTCTCCACAAACGAGCCGAACGTAACCATACATAAGAAGATCGGTGACAGACATCAGTTCCAGTGCCGAGCGCTGGGAGTGCCGGCCCCTCACATACACTGGATTCTGCCGAATGGGGACGTACTGAACGACACGTCCAACACCATCCACTATCAACTCAAACTCACGGGAAGTCTGCGTCTCTTTCACCTGAAGCCCCGGGACTCCGGTGTCTATCGATGTGTCGCCCAAAACACGTTCGGCTCAGTCATGGCGGCCATGACTCTCATGATAGACAACATTGATTTGCATTTGTATGCGATGACCGTCGCCTCCAATTACGTGACACTCGTAGGCCATTCACCACTCATTTGGTTAAACCAATTGATCGATGAACTAATTGTATGTTTTTGTGGACAGGTATGGAACGGAACGGGCCGTAACTCATTCCACGAGTACCACATCATCTACAAAGTGATGGACGACAGGACGGGCGACGACGAGGCGCCCAACACGACCACCACCCGGAGCCTGAGCGCCGACTCGCCCGGCAAATGGCAGTCGGAGTACGAGTCGGTCACTGTGAACCACGTGTTGCGCTCCTATAGTCTCACGCATTTGGAGCCCAACACCAAGTACTGGATCTGTTTGACGGTGAGGGACGCCGACGCCCACAACGGCTACGTCCAGCTCTCGTGTACGACAGTCGTGACCAAAGCGGCCACACATACGACGGCTACGCCCCTGAAAACGTCGGAGTCGACCAACTTTGCGCTGGCCATCACTCTCAGCGCAACCATTTTGCTCGTCTTCTTCGTCTACTTCGTGTATATGGGACTCAAACGGTATCGCATTCACCGCCAGTACGAGATACCGGCCCCCAAGTTGAGTAACGGTGCCAATAATAACCCCGGTGTTCACAACGACCCCAATTTGCCACACATTCCGCTCGAAAACATTAAGAGTCCACTCATTAAGCATATGAGGCATTGAATTGATATTATATTGTATCGACAAAATTAAATTATTGAAATGCTTTTTATGTTTTATTTTCTAATAAAGTTATATATTTTAGCTAAAAATTAATATTTTATTCACAATTCACTTGTTTCTAACAAAAATCTAAAAGCATGTCTTCAAGAGTTATCATTAGCTTTAATCAATCGTAAGATACATATCATTGTTTGTTAATAAGATAACAAATGTTATTCAAAATAAAGATTTTAATAATTTTACCTTAATATACAATATTGATTTTATATGAATTCAAAACTATTGTAAATGTACCGATATAATTTGCTTTATTAAGCAAAAATAAAAACAAATAATTTTATTTATACGTAATAAACAAATTAAAATTTTTAATATTTTACTAATCAGTGGAAAAATACTTTAAAACATTAAAAAGTAAAATCAAACATTGAATGAAATATCGGTGTCGACATCGCAGCCCTCATTGATATAATGGCGACCCTTGATAACCACATCCAAGTCTTGCCTAATGCCGTCCCCACTCTCAACAAACAATAACTTTTTATCCGCTTTTTGGGAAACATTTTTCACGTAAACTCTTTTGCAAACACTTCTACTTCTGGTGCCAAACAGTTTGCAGACAATAACTCGCAACCAATTACTCCTATGTTTATGTTGTGTCCACCGGAATCGATAGCTATTATTCTTCAATGGCTTATCGGTCACCGTAACTGACATCTCAATTATAGACATCTTATCAATTAGATTAACAAGTTAAATTATAAATTTTGATAACACCATAGGGATATTATTTTGATAATGTTTGTATTATAAAATGTCTATGGTTATTGATAAGATAAATAAAATGCTAGTCCCTTATGGTAAGTGGATTTTAGGAATATTTTAAGTAATATTTTTAGTATAATTATTTAAATCATGTGAATTATTTATATAAAAAGTTGTTTTAAAATGTTCAATGTCAATGTCAAGATTTCCAATCATATTGTAGTGGTATTTACCTGTTTTACATTAGCATAGTCAAATTTAGTAATAAATAACCAGTTCTAATACATTGTTGAAAATGTCAAATACTAATAATAATGAGTTTTGTATAAATTATTCTAAATTATATAATTGAAAATTATCATTGATTATTTTATTTTTTATATTTTAAAAAACATTAACTTTCAATTACAGTAATTTTCAATTGATATAAATTTTGAAAACCTAAATTGGTAAGCATTTTGAAATTTAATTAGATTAATTACATAGAAAATAGTCTATACTATAAGTATCATTATTGTCAAATAGTAGTTAATCGATATTATTAGAGAATTTATTATGTTTTCAAACTTTAATTTATTCAACAAAAAACGCCAAGAAATCAGATTTTAATTCAATTATCTAATACTAGAGTCCAGTAATTATAGTCATTAATTAACTCATAGAAATTCAATCGTTGATTATTACACAAAATCAATGACAAAATAATTAATTATAAAACAAGTTAAGCGTATACTGTACAGTATAACGTATTTTAGTGAATATTAAGTTAATGTGTATTACTTGTAATAGGAAATATAAAAATCAGTATTAATTAGTTTAATAAAACTTTTAAGTATAATGTTTTAATAAACATATTTCAAAAACTTTTAAAAATTATGATACAATTTAATACAAAACCTACCGTTACCTAAAGAATTTAAGATGACATCTATTTGCTTGAATTCACAACACAAATAAATTGTATCACGTTAGTTAATTATTGTATTATAATGAAATACTCTATAATAGTTCACTATTTGTATTAAAGATTAATTTTACAAATAATCTTTGATTTAAAATTCAAGTAAAAATTTTATTTATGTTTATTGTGCATTAATAAACAAAAATTTAGTATATAATAGTACATTATAATTATTGTATTTTCAATGCCAAGAAAACTATTGGCATTAATAAAAGATATATGAATCCATTTTGCATAATAATTATTTTGTGTATGCATAACTTATTATCTGTCATTCAGTACGTTAAAAGTAACTTATTATATAATTTAAATTAATAATAAAACCAATTATTTTATTTAAAATAATTTTTCAAACATTTCAAAGTCAATGTCACATGTAACTAATTAATTGCAGTTTATTTGGGTTTTAAATGCTACCAATTAATTATTCATACAATATAATAAAATAAACAATTATAGTAATAATTAGCATTTGAATCTTAAATACTAATGAAGTTAAATAAATAATTTATCTTAAAGATTTTATCAGTAAATACATAATTAAATGGTATATTATATTTAAAATGATTAATTACGAAAATTAAGTTAGCTTATATTTACATGAATTTATTCAAAAGTAAGGTATTGGTAAAAATGTACATATAAATTAAAAATATAAACGTAAAAAGGAAAGTAAATTATAAAAATACATTTATAAACTTGATAAATTCTAGTAGCTGATACAAAATAAATCATTTAAATATATAAACTATTCTACAAAATCTAAACAACATGATAATAATATTATCAAAAGCTACAAATATAAAACAAGTATACAATTAAAAGGAAAGCCAATAAAACCCAAAACAAAGTGCCGCTAATTGTCCGGAAAAAACGATTTCTTGATGGATGGCGACGTCTCATTATTATACCGGAGGTGATCCTTAACATCAAAGAGGGAACGGCTGCCCACAGGACGCGATACCTCCTCTTCCCGCTCACCCCCTCTGTGTATAACATCAGCCAAACCTGATGTCTGAGCGGAACGGAACATATCGGTGACAAACCGGTCGAACTGGGACTCAGACATCTTCAGTATCTTTTGCGCCAAAGTCAACAGACTGTCCCTCAGACGAGTATCACCCGTCCTTTTAGACCACTGGAGCCAATAGACCAGTTCGTTCAAGTGCTCAATCGACTGGTGTTTTCGCAGCAAATACCGCTCTATCATCTGAATCAGCTCCGGGAGGTCAGCGGTAAAGGCACTGACATATAAGCCAATGATTTCTTTTTCATTGAAGTGGCGGATCCTTTCAGTGTAGATATAGGACAGTAGGCTTTGCATGACTACCGGCGATGTATTAGTCCATGTGATCGACGGTCTGTTCCCAATGATAGGTCGTCTCAATGCAATCCTTACTAAAGTCTGCAGTTTATCGGATCGGGCGGCCAGTATCGCCCGGTGCGCACAGAAACGGGTCGTTTGGTTACCATTTATGTCATCTCTGATGTTGATATTAATATCGCAGAACTCCCTGTCCATCAACAGCTTTTCGCCCAGAGTCTGTAAGCCATGGCACCTGTATTTACCACTCATTACATTATTAAATGTTAATTTTTCCCACACTTCAGTCATATCCGTTTCGTGATCCTCGTGTGTGTCCTCGTGATCGGGATATTTTGAGTGGTGGTTGAGCTCCGGTAGGGGTTCCGACACTTGATTCAGAATAAACACTTTCCAATGACCCGAAAATCTAGGCTCACGGTTAGTGGTATAACCGCCAGAAATATTGTCCCAATCGATAGATAATATAAGTAAGAAATACAGTATATTTCCCATTGTATTAGGATTTAAAACTTATTATTTAAATTATAAAAATTACAATATTTCTGCATTTATATATAGCATATTTGTTTATTTTTAGTTTTTTAACATATCATTTAAATTGGAATTTAAATTAATTTTATTGTAAAAATCAATTAAATTAATTAGGATTTAATGTAAATATAGTTGAAATGAAAGGATTTAGATGTCAATGTCGAGTGGATTTGCTATACGTGTGGGAAATGTCAGTATTTTTGAATAGAAGGGCATTCATATTCATCTGATATATGAATGCAATATTCAGTTAACAATAGAAATAAATTTATAATTATAATAATAAAACCAAGCAATTATCTGTTATTAAACTCATTTACAAAACCTTTTATATTAACAATACAAAAGTAATAGTAAAGGCATTCAGATGTAAAATCCACATGTGATGAGACCACATAGGGTTTGATAGAAATTGATTTTTAAAAACAAATACTGTACTTGAAATAAAATGAATTTTACATAATGAATGAAAATAGCTTATCAAAAATTTTGATCGACATTTAATTATGCTTGATGGTTAAAATTGTGTGAAAACATAAGATTGATATGGATTATTATTTATAATTAGAGTATTGTGTTTACATTTTACATTTCTATTCAATTAATTTTTATATCTGTCTTGAAATTAATTCTATTCATTTTCAAATGGATTTTCATTAATAAACATTTTTAGAGACACTTATACTATAACTTAATATAATTTAAATAAATTTTAATCTAAATTTTTTTTAAAACTTACTTAATCCAATTAGAATAAATATATTTGCTAGATTAATTATTGTGGCATTAATTTATATTATTAGTGATTTAAAGTGTATGAGATCAAAATATGCAAATAGTTTTATTAAAATATATTAAAAATATTGTAAGTTATACAGACAAATTTTATAAATGCTGTTTAAAAAGTTATTTTTGATAAACTTATTAAAAATAAAACAAAAATAGTACAGTAATTTAGTCAAAATATAGTGTGTATTATATAAATTTAGATGTACAGTAGGAACCTCAGTTTCAGGTAGTTTAGGGAAATTACCTTTTTTAACTTATTTTTTACTAATTTTTATTTTTGAAATAACATTGTGTTTATCAGACAGAAAAATCCCATCAAGCAATTTTAAAACTATTGCTCATATATTATATTAATGTCGGGTCAATATTATAATAATTGACAATTCATTATATTAATTTTAAAGGGGCAATAAATGAATTAATTCTTATTGAATTATATATGAATTATTCTATCTAGGGTTTACCNCAATAAATGAATTAATTCTTATTGAATTATATATGAATTATTCTATCTAGGGTTTACCTGCTCAGAGTTTTTTACTCATTTTGCTACCTGAAACTGAGGTTCCTAGTACAGTATAATTTAGACATTAATTTTGATAATAAATATCCAATAATATTGACAAATACTTAGATATCTTTCATATAA